TGAGTGAGATTTGTTCGATATCATTGGGATCTATCAGCAATTAAATGTTCAGACATATCATGCAAACTTTCTTGAACCCCCCCTTCCCCTTCCCCCCCCCCCCCCCAAAAAAAAAAAAAAAGGTAGTGTAATACTTTTATGTGTCAAGTTAATAGAAAAGGACCTTGGTGTGAATATTCAAGTGGATGTAATGTAATCTAACAGTAATTTCAAGTTGTTAACTAAGCATGATGTGAATGTACTTTGTCGGTTTGTGCATGACCATAATTGCATTGAATTATATAATTTGTTTATTCTGTTCTTTCAATAAATTATTTTTGGGTATTTTGTTCATATTACTTACTTTCTGCTTGGTAAACGTAGGCCACTTTGGCTCTGTATGCTGCAAAACAAACTTCTGGAATAGCTGTTAATGTTGGTTTTCAGGTCACATCTATAGTTCCAAGTATGCTCTATAGATCTCCTTTCTTTATCTTGCCCTGCATTCTTTAATATAATATTTTATTTATGCATACTATTAAATTCTTGTATGTGGAGCTCATTAATGTGCTGTCCATGTGGGGATGCCTAATACTTTATTACTTCATGCATGAACAAATGGTTGTTAATGCTTAAACATCTTTTTGTCTGAAGCACTACTTGTATTCCCTTTTAATAAAAGAAATGCCGAGTTTAGATTTTTCTGATGGGAATATAGTCACTTGCATTATCATTTTGCAGTTCTGAATGGTAAAGTCATGCGCAAGGTGGGTGTGGAAGTTGTGGGACTGGGAGCGATCAAACTTACAGGATTCCTTAGGGAGCTGATGCAGCGGAACAACATGAATTTTGAATCTTTGTACACTGTTCGCACACTGAAAGAGGTATTTCTGTTTATTTGCTTTACAAATCTTGAGGAGATTTCAACCATTAATATCATTGTGGTAGTCTGTGGTGCAATGGAATATTTCGGTTGTGCATTCGTTCTTATCATGAAATGCAGTTATAGATTTTAGTTCTGGCTGACAGTTGGTCTAATTTGCTGTAATTTACGCAAGATATCTTAATGGAAGTTACAATGTTTTATTCTAAGCTTCTCATAGTTCAGATCACATTTTGGATTTTTCAAATATTGACCACTGAGAACCTGTCGTTTGCACATGGATAAAAATATGATATTTTGGGTTCTTTCTCTCTCATTCATCTACCCCAAAAGAAGTAGCTGTGTATCTTCTGATTCATAATATACGAGCATTTTATGATTGAACTTGTTCCTCAGAAATTTGTGGCTCCATTTTTTCCAAGTGCTGAAATATCTTCTGCCTCATGAATTGAAGTATGAGTCAGAACTGGAGCAGGATCCTGCAGCGTAATTTATTGGTTAAATTTAAGTTGCAGGATGGCAAGTGCATGCGGACAGAACTGTGGTTGAGGTTCATCTCAATGATCAGTGGGAACATTACTTCTGTGTGAAGACCGAATATTTCTTTTATATATATATATATATATATATATATTATATGATGTTTGTACGTTTGGTTTCAATTGAAGTGTGCTGGGAATGGTTGTATTGGTTGAATTTAACTCAGAAATTACTTCCTGTGAAGTCATCTCACTGAAGTTTTCTGATGGTTTGGTTCCATGTCAACAGGAGCTATGCTATGTTGCTATTGATTATGAAGCTGAACTATTGAAAGATACGCAAGCATCGTTTGAAGCAGCGGGAGAAGGATGGTTTACACTTTCGAAAGAGCGTTTTCAAACAGGAGAGATCTTGTTCCAGCCTCGGCTTGCTGGATTGTAAGTATTTGTACGCTTGCAATACTGTTGCAGCTTTCATCATTGAGGCCCACTTCTTATAGTAGCTTGACTGTCATCACTGAACCTGGATAAACTGGTTCTAAGTTATATGAGAAAACAATTTCCTCAATTGCTTCAGAAGTAAACTCATGTTGAAATTTGGCAACCCCGGAACTTGGTGGTGCAGTTTTTAATTCTGAAAAAAATGAAAACGTACTTTCTTGAAAAACAAATGATATGTAAACAATAGGTTATTATAAGCCCCTAATTTTATCATTTACCTCACTCTCAAAAAGAGGGAAGAGGTAATCTGAAATATGATAATTGTTTTCTTGGACTGAATTAGTTCTCTGCATGAAAATTGACTGTTAAATTCTGGTCTTGTCGTTGAAACCTTCAGTTCCAGAACAGTGTTCACAGTATTTATCTGATGGTTATTCCGCTGATTCGATACTTCAAGAATTAGAAGAAAAGATATATGGCTTTGTTAATGGTATGTTAAGGAGTTATATTTGCAAAGTGCACCATTAATTGCAAAATAAACTTCTTCAGATTTCTGGGAGAAAACTATCAAATATAGACTACATCATAGTGAGGATGTAATTCTCATGTTCGACATAAAGATTCAGAAAATACTGGCTTTCCACCCACAAAGCAAATTGTTGATAAAACTCCAAAATGGCATTTTCTTCTGACCTTTTTCTTGTTTCCTTTTTATTCTCTTGTCATTTAGAAAATACTGGCTCTCCATGCACGAAAGTCAAGAAACTTGGTAGCAAATATTCTTAGAATCTCTTTATCTTAATTGTCATTCTCTTTATTTTATACTTCCACATAACAAGCATGATGTAATCTGCGAAAGGATCAATGACTAAATCTGCTTATCTGTATTTACTGGGAAAGTAACAGGCAGCACATGTCAGTGTCTAGTATATATGCAACTTCCTTGAAAATCCTCTTTATCCATAACCGAGTGACCTTGGGATGTTCTGTCCCTTTGGCAGTGTTTTTCTCTCTTGCCGTGATGGCACACCATGGAAAATTCTTGCCTGCTAGTCACCTTGTTCCTTGTTTCCCCGGAATGGTACATTAAGCTTATCATGAACGTCTTGTTGTAGGCAAGCAATGGGTTTGCACCAGGCTGTAGCTCTTTGTATGGACCATTGCCATTCTGCAGAATTAGCAGGTGACCCTGATTGGTTTAAGACTGTGGTTTTATCAGGGGGAACTGCATGCTTACCAGGTCTAGCAGGTGAATGTCCCCTTTTTTGGATAAACGTTAGGTGTCCATTTTATTTGTAAAGATTTGCATCTTTTACTACAGAGCATCTCAATATGATAAAATAGAATTAAGGTATTGAAAAAAACGCCAGTGATGGGCTACTTTGACTAATGGGTTCTAATCCCACTTTGGGATCCTTATGGTACAGAAAGGTTAGACAAGGAACTCCGTGATTTATTACCTCCCCAGTTGTCCAGTGGAATCGAAGTCATACCTCCTCCATATGGTGCTGAAACTGCATGGTTTGGAGCAAGGACTATTGGCAATGTGAGCTATCTATTTGATAATTTCATAAATTTGAAATGGGCTTTCTACATGTCACCTTCACATATGTTGAGTACTTGAATGAGGTCCCGCATGCTGAACTTTTTCGAGTGAATATTTGATTCATTGATTATGTGTGCTGGAGAAGGGTTGACAGCGTGAGTTCTAATATTTTGAGTGCTGCTCACAACTGATCTTAACTTTGTGTAGTTGAGTACCTTTCCTGGTCCATGGTGTATAAAGAAGAAGCACTTCCACAAGTCTCGACTCAATCTCATATGGTGAATAATTTGTGATTTCTCAGGGCCGGCCCATATGGTGAATGCTTTTTCTAAACTTGCTCTTCTTGTGAGTTTAAATCATTATGCACCATCAACTCAATGGATCAGGAGGTTCTTCTTGGACGGGATTATGAAAGGAGTGAATTTGTATTCAATATATAGATAAATAAATAAATGTATCTATTGATCTCTTTGGCCAAACAAAATGTATTTATTGATATAGATAATCCCACTTTGGCCCAAAAAAGGAAAAAGGGAAAAAGGTATACCTTATATCTTTACATTATTTGTTAGAAAGCTCTGATACATCTGTATTTTCTTGTTTGTAGAAGAAATTGTTTATTCAACTGAGGACTAGATGAAAGGTGAGGGATTTGATGTACCTTGAATGATGTAATAAGTATAGTAATTTATTAAGGCCATGGACCATGACAGCTGAGTTGGCTTGGTTAGCATAGGGACTAAATGAGAGGAGGAATTAAAGTTCTTTTGGTCCCATAACTGTCAAAAGTTTTTGAACTCATTTTATGAGGATTAAGGCTCGTGTTGCGGCATATTTTGAGTGTGATTATTGCATCCAACTACAGGTGATACTCCCTCTAGTCTTATGCATAAGAACCTTTTTAGGGGTGGATCTTTTTCATTTTTACTCATTAATTATTGGTTGGTCCCAGTGCATTAATTATTTATTTACTCACTCTCTCCCTTTATTTTAAGGCTGTTTTTGGAAAATAATGGTTTACATATTTATTAGCCTTAACCAATTTCAACCAATTTGTTTATATGTATAATTTAATTATTTGTGTCTTATAAAAGGAATTGAAGGAGTAAGATAAAGCATGCATTTAAAAGTTTTTCTTTTACCGAATAACCTTGTATTTTCAAAGCTAAAAAATAAACTAAAGAGTACCATGATTAACGGGCATTTTTTATTTGGTCTTATAAGATCAAGTGTATTAGTTAGAACTATCTTAAGAAAAAATAAATAAATATAAGAGACTAAGTAGATTGATCTTATATTTAAGATCAAAATAAAAATCAAATAAAATCTTATATTATGGACCAGAGATCGTATTGTTCAAACCTTATAAATAATGCAGTTTGTATGAAGAGCTAGTTCTGTTGTTAGGTAAAGGGAATTAATAAAGCAAACTGCTTTTATAGTTGACATGATTCTAAATCTTAAGAGAAATCTAATATTGACTAGATCAAACTGAAATTTTATGTGAAATTAAAGGACTAGATATATACTTTAATCATCATTATGTCATCTTTTCATAGAAAAAATTCACACATCGTAGACATTCGCTCTTTAAACCTGTTTAGGAATTTGTAAAGTGTCTAAAATAGAAAGATAATGACACAAAAATTAAGTGTATAGATTTATTTTCTTTTCATCCCCCTTCTTCTTAATAAATTTTACATTTTAAAGGACTCATTTTAGTAAGATTCATCTTTACTATGCTTACAATCAATCGATCAACATATCTTAGAAAAAAAAGTTACGAAGCTGTATTATTTACAATCCATGAACAATGCCCATGTCACAGACTCACTGTAATTCTGTTCCTATCATTCCCATAACTTTTTAGCTAGGCCATCTGTTTTAGCATTCTGTCAATCCATCCCATATGGTATAAATCTCTCTAACCTCATCATGGCCAGCGTCCCCCGCCATGAACTCATGAAACTCCCCCTCAACTTCAACGGAACTCAACCCACTTGTACCTTTCAAATTAAAATCCTTCATAAATTTCCTCACTTTCTGTGCACATTCCTTCTCTCCTGCACTATCAAACATGATCCCTGCTAATTTATATCTATCACCAGAATTTGGCTCAAGATTCATTAATTGTCTTAGTGCCTTATTCCCTCTTCTTGCATCAGTGTGCATCCTACAAGCATTAAGGAATGTGCCCCATATAATTGAGTTGGGCTTCTCTGGCATTGATTCGATGAACCCTTCGGCCTCTGCTAATTTTCCAGCACGACCTAGGAGGTCCACCATGCATCCATAATGTTCAACTGAAGGTTTGATTCTGAAATCATGAACCATTTTGTTGAAATAGTGGTATCCCATGTCAACATATCCTGCATGAGAACAAGCAGATAAGATCGACACAAAGATCACTTCATTTGGATGAGTTCCTTCCACAATCATCTCGTGGAAGAGTTCGAAGCATTTCTGGACTTGGCCATGAATAGCAAAAGCAGATATGATGGCTCCCCAAGTGACTATATCTCTTTTAGGTATTTCCTCAAACACTTCATAGGCACCTTCAATGCAGCCACACTTTGCATACATGTCAATAAGAGCAGCACCAAGAGTGTTGCTTATCTTAAACCCATTTCTTTTTATATACATGTGCACCCATCTTCCTTGATCCAGTGTTTCCAGATGGGTAATGGCAGATAATGAGCTCACAAGGGTTGATTCATCAGGAGCAATAGGAGGATCCTGGGATGCCATCATTTCCTGAAACAAGTCTAAAGCCTTAGCATGTAGGCCATTCTTTGTGTACCCAGAAATCATTGCATTCCAAGAAGCAACATCTCTTGTTTCTATTCTATCAAACAACTCTCTAGCTTCTTTAACATGTCCATGCCTTAGATACCCAGAAATCATTGAGTTCAAAGGAGGCGTTTCCACCTCTGAGATCCCAGCAAGAATAAGCTCTGCACAAGAAAACCTATTAGCAGTAGTGTACATGTGTATCAGAGAGCTATTAATGTGAGTGCTAGTTGATATTCCAGACTTAATAATCTGGCAATGTACTTGTTCACCTTCACACACAGCTTCCAAATACGAACAAGCTTTGAGCACAAAAGTGTAAGTATAACCATCTGGGATTTGACCCTCTAGAAGCAGTGTATTATAAAGCAACAGAGCACTATGTGGGAGATTACACAGAGTCAGGCCTCTTATGGCAGTGTTGAAAGCAAAAATATCAGGAGAAGGTATACTTTCAAAGACAGATATAGCATAGTCTTTATGAGAAATCTTAACATATGACTCAAGGAGTCTCCCAGAATTCAAAGGGTGGCCAAGGAGTCCTGTCACAATGAACTGGGCATGAAGTTGTTTTACTTCTTGCAGGCTTTGACACATTTGAAGCAAAAGAACAGTGGTGGGAATTTTCTGATGAGCTCTTAGTGTTAAATCTTTGTGCTTAAAGAAGGATGAACGAGTGAGAGAGACAGCCATGTAATGTTCATATATGGATACTTGTTCTGCAGAAGTTCGAGAGCTAGAGTTCCTTGCTCAGATATATGACATTCTTTGATAAAGTGTGAAGCATTCCTATCCGCACGCACCATATCCAATCACCTCAGATTTTTTCTTCAGGTTAGAAGTCACATCGCAGACCTTCATTTGCTCCTCACAACAAAACAAAGTCCAGAATTTGATTGGACAAAGCTAGAAATAACCTTATTCAACATCTGGTGTGGGAAAAAAAATTTAAATGAAAAGTTTTTTTTTGGCTTAACAATACTCATTATCTTTTTTTTTTTTTTAAGAACAAAATTAACGTGCTGCAGTTTAAAGCCATGCTAAACAACCGAAACAATTAAAATGTACTCCGTTTTAAATATTTTTTCTGTCGTGAAACAAAAGATTCGTATCTAAATAATGACGCCCAATAAAACACTATTAAGGCGAAAAAAAATAATTCTAAACTGAATTTCTTGTTGAAAAAGGAAAAAACATCATATGATATATTTTTATTTTTTATACCAATTTAAACGGTGATAAAGGAGAGCCTTGAAATAAGGGTAGAATTGTCATCATGCGAGATAGAGGTCACAAGTTGAAGCCATGAAAATAGTCTTTTACAAAATAATATAGGATAAGGCTGTGCACAAAAGACTGAAAGACGGTTTGATCTTCCTCAAACCTCGCACATAGCAAGAACTTCATGCAACATATGTCTTTTGGTGTTAAGCTAAGAATAAGACACGAGATATAGAGGGAAACCCCATTGTAAGGTAAACCATCTCAGCAGAGTTTACAAGCTCAAAAGCATTGAAGCCAACACTCACTCAAATAAAACAGAGACTTTTAGCTCTAATCTACTATATGCTACCCTTTTGGCTCTTAGCACAATCTTGATGGTGGACAAGATGATATGTAATCAAAGAATTGTCAAAGATTATACAATAACAATGTAGTGCACAAGATGATAATGACAAAAAAAATGGGCACTATTGAATTATAGGAATAACAAGAATAAGAAACCAGCTGAGAGCATCAGAATCAAGCATGGATAGTGCATGATCTGACTAGCTGTGTCATTTGCGGACATCGATGGTGGTAATGCGGGGCAGGCAAGACCTTGCTTCCCTTCCCGGCACTCGCTAGAAAAAAGTCCTGGAGGGTATTTTCCGTAAATGTTGATGTAGCTAAACATGGTCGTGGCACACTCGTTTGTCAAGTCATTTAAAACGTCAGCATATGGGCAAGCAAATTCTTTGAATGCTGCACAACAGGTTTTCGGAGGGTAATGGGGACCTTTGCATTGGCTTGTGATTATTGTGTAGTTTAAGAACTCGAAATTCACAGGACAGCCTGCAGATGCAAGGTGAAAAAACAAAGAAATGTCAATTAAAGAGGGGAAAAACAAACAAGAAAAGAAGAAAGTGAACAATTACTACAGTTAGTAGTGGCCAATGAACAGCTATCCCAGAGTAACCAAGACAAAAATTTATAGATGTAATGCAGGATCCAAGAGATTGGCTTCACTTGCAGTTTTTATGAGTTATAACATGAAGAATCGTGAGGTAACAAAACTAAACATAAAAGAAACAAGTAGTCAACGTGTTTGGGACTTGCTTTCTGCATTTGAGCAGGATGATACAAGCAATTCCATTATCTTATTTGCACGTACACAAGTTCAAAATGAGATGTGAGGGTTGCATTTAGCACAATTTCCAGGCACTGATATGAGCAACTAATAAGATTTATTTGAACTAATGATTGTACAACACATTACACCGAAAAGTCAATTATAGATACTAGTAATAAAATTATATCTATTGATGTGCAATTGAGCACAATTCGTCCTTTGTTCTTCACAGTTCACACAGGCAATCAAGAGTTTTCATTATAGATAAAGTATCGTACCTGAGAAAAGAAGAGTGCATTGAATTTACAGTCATAATGCCAGTCCATGATTTACAATACCAAATTATAAAACCACTTTTTCGTACGTAAAGCTATGGAATTATGATTTAAAAGGAAGAAATATGAATATCACCAAACTAGGACCATGATATGTGAGTTCTCTATAAGCATACCATTAGCTAAACTCCGTAAAGAGGCCAACCCACCTTTTCCCACTAAGGATGTTTTGGAAAAATCCATCCGTGAAAAGTTTAACAATTCTTTCCAACCACAAACACCAGACACAGAAACACTGCATGCATTGGACATGATCAAAGATTAGCCCTTCGTTGTTATTTCGTCCTCCAAAAGTGACCATTTTGATTAACTCAAGTGCCAAGAATTGGACACCTAATTATTGTAAGAATAAGATAAGGCAAAAGGTCTGTGGTAAGATGCTAACAACTTAAAATCTTTCTATAATTCTTATCTTCTTAAAACAGGAGCAACGAATTTAGTTCTCTCAAATCACACGAGGAAATGACATAATCAGAAATCCCACAAAAATAGCAAATGATTTACAAGCGAAGATTTAGGAACCAGCGGTTTCACAAAGCATGCGGATCAAAGGAACAGTTATAGAAACCAGACGACTATATATTACAAAAAACAAATAAATATATTTGTAGATCCAACAGAGGGCACCATTAAGAAATAATATTGGAAAAAATATCAACCTTTTTTAGCCTGAAGAAGGTTCCGACCGATATGCGCCGCAGAATCGAAGGTAGTATCTGTAATAACATAGTAAAATCGAATTCTTCAGAATCATTAGACATCAAAGAGAAGAGATACCGAAATGGACATTACAGGAGCTAAAGCTCACCGGGAACTGCAAAAACTGAGAGACCCATTAACAAGACAAGCAGAACTTCACAACACACCCAGAAACGCTGATTGAATCCCATCAAGATCAATTTTTTGAATAGTACTTCAATATTTTCTTTTGCTGCGTTTTTGGTAAGTTTCAGTAAAGGAAGAGGGATAGATCCAAAGTGGGTATTTCTTCTTCTTCTAGTTCTGGTTTTAGGTGTCGATTTCGTGAAGGTAGTTCAACTGAGAATAATATAAATAAGGGAAAATGGAGGGGCAGTTACAGCAATGTAATATTAATAATTTCAAAATTGAAAAATAAGAAGGATGACAGACACGATCTTGCATTTGATTAATGGGTGCCAGCCGGATAACGCGCTTCCGCCCTCAGCACCGCATCCTTGTCAGCAGTCTTCACTCCGGAAAGAGCACCACCGCGTGTGTGTGTGTGTGTTTTTTTTAATTTTATTATTTTCCGTGACATCTTGGATCAATGTTTTTCAACTTTTTTTTTTGGACCAAGGTATCTACGATACATAGTAGTGATTAATTCAAAAAAAAGATCTTAAAATGTGTTGTCATTTACTTTTCAAATCTTGTCAATTATTATTAAAGTGTAATAAATAAAACTGATCTAAAATTTTAAAATTTAAAGATTTTTTTTTTAATTCTCCGTAATTTCAAAAACACTGAGGATAAGTAAGTTGGCTCAACCTGTAATTTCAGTCCAAAAAAAGACCTGCAATTACAAATTCAAGAGTTTAAATTTTGGTGAAGACTTGGTTAATCAACTATTTATAAATATTTTTATAAGTATTTTTTGAACTTTGAAGCATATTTTAATTCTGATAAGCAGATGCCAACACAGGTTTCTTAATTAAGTTTATTTTAAAAAATTGAAAATTGAAGTTGCCATTGAAATCTGAAATAGTGAGAATAGAATTAGAATTTTGTATTTAGAGGGTATTTGGTTTAATTAAAAAGCTTGCACATAAATTAAAACAAATTTTTTTTATATATTTATTTTATATACCGTAAAATTACTTTTAAAAATATGGTTCAATTTGTACATCATCATCTCTAGTGTTGCAAACACAGGTTTTGGCAAAGCCTATACTATCATGCTTTCCTTGAGAGTTTATAAAATTGTGCATCTTCAACATATTAGGTTTGAAGATTATTTTTCTAATCTTTTGGGGTTTGACAGGATTTGATTATACTGCATTTTTCCAATGACGCGTACGTTTCCTTAGGATGGTTGCTATGGCTTCCCGTCATGGTGGATAATGGTCTTGATGTTTGGGTTAGGGTTGGTATTGTATTCTTAGATAAAGGAATATTAGTCTTTTTCATAGTGTAAATAAAAATATTAAATTAAAATACTAATTCATTTTTTTATTTCTTTTTTACTTTTTTTTTGGGGGGAACTTTCCCTTCCATCAAAATTACTTCCCCGCATGGTTGTGACCCTTTGAAAATTGGAGTTGCCATATGAACAAAAGAACTTCATTAAAGGAAATATTTCTATTCTTGCAATAAGTTTGGAAAAATAAAGATTTATTATAAATATTACAATATTAAGTGTGTTGTAGCACTATTTATGAAGCGCATATCTTCATTCTTATGTCGAACAAAAAAAACATTTATATTCTTTAGTAAAAGAAAAGAAATGCATTAATATAAATTTCAAATGTATCATGAGCAATAATGCTCTTGAAACATGAAAGGAGAAAAAGAAATAAACATAAGTAAAATATAAACTAAATTAAAAGGCATAAATAAAACAAACTAAAATATATTTTTAATCCAGACACTTATAACCGTGATTCTCAAAGAAATCAACCATCTCCAAATATGCCATAACATCAAGACCATTAACATTATCTAACTCATTAACATCATCTTTCTTGTATGCAAAATTTACCTTCATATTATCAGTTTGAAAAGTCAAATTTGTTTTCATATTATTTAAACTCTTTTTTATGAAGGCTTGATAAAGTTTTATTAGATGTTCGAGCGTAAAACAGATACGTGACCAATGTCCTTTCATACCACACAAATAACATTGATTTTCAACAATTTTGAAGAGTATTTATATCTTTTTTCTGCTCATCACCCACTTTCCTCTTTTGGTAGGTATTTAGATTCTAACTTTTACTTCTACCGCCATAATAATAATAACAACAAAATGAATGAAAAAAAGATTATTGTCTTCTCTATTTTCTCTTTTCTTTTCTACTCTCTAGTTTCTTTATTTCTTCTCATTTTATAACAAGATTTTATTGCTATACAACTTGTGAGTGTTACGAGTACGCAAATTTATAATATTTTATATTAAGAATATAATTCCTTTCTATTCTATAAATTCTGAAATTGAATATAATTCGAATTGTTTTCATGTTGTGTGTGTATTTATATTCAATAAAAGGCATCCTAGAGAACTGATTATGGTGCTAAGAAAATGTTTCATGTAATATCTTTATTTACAAACACGCATATATTGGCCAACAATATCTCTTATGTGTTTTCGTTTTATGTATTATTATATTAATACATACTACATTTGTTTTTTAATTTGAGGAGATCAAAGAAGTTACTAATTTATTTTAAAATATTTATTTTTTTTTTCAAACTAATTTATCTCACTTATAAATTGACATATAATCTAATGATATATATAAACATTTTAGAGAAATCATATAATAGATACTATAATCAAATAATTTAGTAATTTTTTTATGCTCTTTAAATTAATCAACTACCTCTTATGAATCACGGCTAGCAATTTAAAATTGGCAAAACTAATTCACAAGTCCTCATAATTTATTTTAATTTTGAATCAAGTCCCATACAATTTAGCACATCCTATACTTGGCTTAAGTCCTTAATTGGTTAGCACTTGAAGAGTAAGAAAGTAAATCATGGTAAGAAATTGAAATTGTCAAAACTTATACTGAAAGGGATGATGTCCCAATTTAGCCACACGTTAAATATAATTTAATGGTGAAAACAGTAATCATATGTAAGTCAGCAATTGAAGAGGAAAATTAAAGAGCCATGTTTCATGTCTAAATTAAAATATCAACATTTGGGATCTTACTTCTCTCAAGAAAACAATGTGTGGTGCCTGTTTATAAGAGTGCTATTTTTTATTTATAAAAGATAGAAGACGAGACCTTCATGGATGGATATGAAATGAGTTATTTGCTTGAAATTCGAAAACTGGGTTTGAGAGATGGAGAGCAAGAAATAAAGCTTAATATAAAAAATAGTTTACCGTTGAAATAGATTAAGAAAATAAATTAAATTAATTATTTGTAATAAATAGGTGTTATATTCCTAAAAATATTCTGCTAATAAAATATGTTAGCCAGAACTACTATTTATGAAACATATAACATATGTAGTTATTATAAGGACTATTTTGGAAAAAAAGTGGATAAATACTACATCTGGTTCTTAATATAAGAGTTAACTAATTTGAGTTGATTTAAAAAACTTGTTAAGTTAGTTATTTGTAATAAATATGTGTTATTTTTCCTATAATATCTTTATTGATCAAGTGTATTTGCCAGAACTACTATTATTATAAGGACTATTTTGGAAAAAAAATAGATAAATATGAGAGACAAAGTAGATTGAGGTCTTATATTTATGATCAAAATAAAAGTCAAATGAGTTCTTATATTAAGGACCGGAGATAGTATAAGAGCTAGTTGATTAATTTGAATAAATTAATAAAGCTTGTTAAATTAGTTATTTGTAATAAATATGTATTTTTTTAATAAAATATCCTTGCTAATCAAATGTATTAGCTAGAATTACTATTATTATAAGGACTACCTTGAAAAAAAAAATATAAATACGAGAGACAAAATAAATAGACTGGGGTTTTATATTTAGAACCAAAATAAAAATCAAACGAGTTCTTATATTAAGGATCGAAAGTAGTATGAAAGATAAAATGAATTAAAATATTATATTTAAGACCAAATTAAAAATTAAACAAACTCTTATATCAATTAGAGGGGATAGAAAAACAAATTGATGCAAAGCATCAACATGCAATCTTGCCTGGATAAGGGCCTGTTTAGATAACATCCCAAACCATAGTTTGGGGACCTAAACCATCGTTTGGATAAAAAAGTTGCCAAACGGGAGGTAAAATTAACAAACCATGATTTTGGGTCAAAAACCATGGTTTTGGATTCAAAATTATGGTTTCAGAAAAAGTGAATCAATTATGTTTCTGGCTCAAATTAGAGAGCATGATTGTACCTGTTAGAGTAGATCTTAACCATAATATGATTTTAACACCCATCAATTATTTTTTTTATAAACATATTTAATAATATATTTTATAAATATAGACACATATTAATTATTTATTAATTACCTTATCTTATATGTTATTAATTATGTTGGTAAGAAATATATTATTAATAATTTTATTCCTTCAAATTAAAATATATTATGAAATTCATCTTTTATGTAATTATCATATTAATTTATACTTTTTCTTAGTAATTAGCATATATAAAAGGTGCTTCTGATAACAACTATTCAAACACTCTCACTTTATCAGAATTACTTCTTCACAAAATCTATATTTTAGAAGTTATTTTTCAAACTATAATTTGGTTTTATCTAAATATCCCCAAGCTTTTCTTATCTGCTGAGAGGCTTCCTAAATCACTTAATTATCCGCCCGTCATCAAAATTAATCCACGTAGCGCCAATTCATGTTTCATTATTCACGGGTTAGTTTAGTTACCCTCCACATTATCAAAACTTAATAGTGCTATAACAGTGTAACGAATCAAAATATAAGAGTCCAGTTCAAAAGAAACAAACTACAGGACTTGATTCAGCCAATTAATTTTCCCTTTAAAATTAGTTGTTATCTATCACTCTCTCTCTGTGTTTTTTTTTTTTCCCGTCTCATGATTTAATTGAAATTGTGAGATTTCATTTAAGTTTTGAATAATATTACGAATAAGAGATTGGCCGCAACGAAGTTATATATATATATATATGTATATATGTATGCTCACAGCGAAGTTTTTTTTTTAGTAAATAAACTATTTTCATATTTGTTTTTCATGAAAGATTTATTTAAATGCTCTTTTTAAAACTATTTATTTTTAAATATTTTACTGCACATTACATATCTTTTTCTCACTAGCTTTTTCTAACTATGAAAAATCAAAAGTAAATTACACGTTTTTAAGGAAATTTAGAAAGATATTTTTTCTATTAGTTAATAATGCACGGAGGATAATTCTAGTTTATATTGAAAAAAAAAACCTATTCTTATTTAACC